CACTCAAATGAACAATCCACCTGCATAGCGGGGAAGTGTAGCTTTCCTGCGATTTAGATTAACAGATTGGCCAAAATACTATCTATTCATCTGGTGCTTTCCAGGCCCTTTCATGTATAAACTGTTCGCCTGTTCTTTTCCGGGCTTTTCTTACCTGGATGTATGGATATATGCTATGCATGACTCTCTCGATCTCTTTTTTTTTCATCTTCCTGTCCTAGATCTATTAGATATCTCCGTAAAGCCCCTAATCCATTTTTCTTACCCTGTTTGTGTCATATTCAATATCTTATTGTTGCTAATCGCCCAACTTTGAAGTGATCCTTGGAGTATTTCTATGGTCTTCATTGTTGACACCTGATTTTTCAGGAATCAAACCAGCAGAATGCGACCCAAACAAAAGCAGATCTCTGGCTTCTCTTCTTCATATATCTTCATATCCTGCCTCGCAAACCCTTTATTTACTAAGAATGCTGGTGTAGCAAAGATCTGATGTCTGACACCATGTTGAACCCTGTGGCTCTATCATTATCTCCATCCTGTCATGACGCCATTTCTTGGTCCCCGGACGGCGAGCTTGCTATCGCTGCCGGTGAATACTTCCAAATCCTGGTGTGTATCCAGTTATCCGATGAGTTTGGATATATCTAACATTTTGACAGACACCAAAAAATGCCAGGGATGAGGATTCTGCCCCCAACTCAACCCAAGATTGGCTCATGGCTCGTGTTAAAGCCAACTTGTTTACCAACCCTGAATGGCCGAGTTACCTTCCGGGAAATCGAGATGATTTTTCCGTCGCCGCAGACCTTTCAGAAAGCAATGTCGTTGGTCTGGCTTGGTCACCAGCAGGACTAGGCAAATATCGACGTAGCGTCCTAGCCGTGCTGACGTCGAATTTGGTGCTGTCCCTCTGGGAGCCGATTGGCCTTAAGAGGCAATGGACTAGGGTTGCCGTCATCAATCATGTATTTTGGTCACAGCTGCAACCATCACAGGACCCAAATAGCCATGGCTTTCGGAAGGTTAACATTCGATCTTTTACCTGGTGTGAAACTTTGAAACCTTCAACGCCTACCCCCGGCTCTTCCTTTCTACATTCGCACGAAAGTCGCTGGGGAATTCCACTTTTAACAGTGGTGAACGATCTCAATGAAGTCATGCTAGTGCAGGTCCGCAGATCAGACCCAACGAATAGCCCTTCCAAGCCCTATGATCTTCAGATGCTGTCAATTCACCCTTTAAATCCCCTGGAAACAAAGAACAACTCGTTGTGCTCCGGATCACTCTTTGAGAAGGCAATAAAAGAGAGACAACGTACTACTGCACTTTCCTGTGGTCCGTGGCAGGTTTCAGCCGCGACGAGCCCAGGAAACTTTGGCTGCGCAGTCGCCATGATAGCTGCAGTATGCGGAACGCAGCTTCGGTTAATGAAACTCGAAGTCACCCTCGATAGCTCGCTCGGGGAGACCTCACAACAGTACATGCTAGTCACAGATTTGATAGAGCATCCTTTGGACCAGTTCGATCAGAAGTTGGCATATTACAACATCGCTGGCCCGCTTAGATGGCTCCATACCGTATGCTTGATCTCTCGTATCCGTGCTGAAATGGGCAGTTCCGCTAATAAACCCCTAACAGAGATCATCCACAACAATTGGTCTGGTAGTGGGCGCCATGGCGGGTTTCATCGCCATAACCATGCCGTACGCTACGTACATGGGTAGCGTTACCAATTCTAACGCCTTCGAATACCGTCATTACCCGATCTATGAGCCAGAAACCGAGGATAACAAGGGACACCAAGTAAGGCACCTGGAGCCGATCTCTGGTATGTCACGCAAAATCTACAAGGCCCTTTCAGCACTGCTGACCCGCAATAGCAATGCTCACTTCAATGAATGAACAAAGCCAAACATGCAAGCTCCACCTAGGCACACTCGGTGGAATTGGCTTAGTTGCAGAATTTCATCAACTCCAAAGTGATAGTGCTCTGCAACAGCCAAAATGGAAACGCATGATTGAAGAGTTCCAAGATGATTATGACTTGGAGTATGATTTAGGAGGAATGTCAGTCTCAAGGATCTGGGGACTCGCAGCCTATCGCAACATCACTGCGACTATCTTCACTTCACATCCCACGGACATGATCGAGTATCGCATCACCTCTGACGACAGGTCTATGATTGTCTTTTCGGAAGAGGGAGAACGTACGACAGACGCTCAAACCCTATTTGCGGCGCACCACCCCGGTGGTCAAACTTCCAACCACAACCGGACAGGAGAAGTAATACGTTTCGTGCTACCTGGTGACGACGGCAATATTGAACCTGACCCGGAGAGCCAACGTCTGATTTATGCCGTGGCCTGTCGTGCCATCGTGGATACAAAGGACAAGTCGCTTCGGCTTCACGCTCGGCGGTCTCTAGAGCGTCTAGCAGTAGTAACAGGCGCGGACCTGAGCGATGAGATTTCCAAATGCAACAGCAATCCCACCCCGGTATCTGCGAGGACTATAGATCAAGTTACTGGCCCAGGCGGTTATATCTACGAGAAGTGCGAAGTTTGTGATGCGGGAATTGGGTGGCCCTCGGCCCAGTTGGCTCAGTGTGCCAATGGCCATGTTTGGGGTAAGCCGCCTAAGCTTGAATTTTGTTAGTAACATACTGACCTTTTTCATGAATATAGATCGATGTGGATTGTCCTTCCTTGCAATTCAAGAACCTGGGATATCTAAGTATTGTTCTGTCTGTCGCAAAGAAGCCCTGGATGAAGAACACGTGGCGTGCATGCGTGGGGGGAAGCAAGGTCGAACATTCGATGCTCTTTTTGAGACGTTTGATATCTGCTTGGACTGCGCAGCCAAATTCCAGGCCAGTTACTAGATGTCCTCGAATAGGATTTGCAATGACTCCTTGATGGCTAGCGGCTGCAAAAAGGAGATATTTGCCCAAAAATGTAATATGACAATGCCACGTAATGATTCCAACACATCGTCATATTCATGTTATTACAGAGAGCTATCTATGTCAGCCCAATAAGGGACCCCGCAATAGGATTCCATTCATCGTCCCATCTCCGAGAGCTTTCTTTTTGGGCGCCTAGACGAAGACTCTCTAATTTGTCGTTCTCGCCAAATAGGTCGACCAAGTGCTCAGCCAACTCCTCCGAACTTCCAAAGCCCAACCCATTGACGCCCTCAGTGACCAACTCGGGCCATGCTTCGAAACGATCCCATCCCACGACAGGAAGACCAGCCCCGAACATATCTACAACCTTCATGGGGAGGTCTACCCCACTGCTGCTAGTATGCAGACTGACCCCTAGAGATGCGGATGCCAATAACTGGGCATATTCTGGTACACTCAGCCACGCAGTCCGAATTGTGACTTTCTGCAGCTTGCTGGACTTTTCAAGAGCAGCAATCTTTTTCAAATACATTTCTTTTTGCGGTCCCTTCCCTGTTATTATGGCCAGCACCTCAGGGAGGTGAGGCTGCACTGTGGTAGCCAGTTTAGAGTACCGGAGAAGGGCATCGATAAGAACCGAGAAATCCTCATCCGCAGTCCATGACGTTGAACTGACCAGAACTCGGACAGACCCTGCTTTCAAAGAGGAATGAAATCCTTTGGTTTCTGGTAGAGTTGTGAGGAAGTCCGTCCGTGTATTGGCATCGAGGATAGGATGGAAGTGACTGGCAGGGCGATCGTGCAGTGGCAGGACAGGGGTTCGAAGGTTGAAATCCTTCTTGAGAACGGATGCCATAGCATTGGTCACACAGAAATGAGCCGATGCAGATTTGCAAAATACCTTCTCGTACCATGTCGACATCTTCACCAACGGGTGGGTTTGGCCGAGTTTCAACGCGAGTATCGAATACCCAAAATTATGCCAATCAATGATCAGCCTTGTTTGCCGCAAGAAACAAACAAGAGAGGCTACAGCCAGTGTAGGAATAGAAGGCGGATTCTTTTTTTGTGTCGCAAGAGCGAGTCAGCACTTCAAATAGGGTATTGAGGAGCCTCCTTTCCACAAACGTACCTGAACCAAAAGCCACCGGGACGGTTTTGTAGTATATGCGAGACACTTCCAGATACAGGCGATCTGGAATAACACCTTCAGGGGCCCGTAAATGGTAAATAGCAGCTTGTTACTGGTCTGTAGGAGGGCGGGATGCGGATGAAGGGGAACAATTGAGATGTTGGGGTTAGATACGATATCAGGATGAGGATCGGATTCTGTTTCATAAATTGTAGTTAGCGATCATATCTTACACTCTGTGTCAAGAGATTTACACTAACCATTATACCCAATAATTACCACCTCCCCGCCATGTTTCGCAATGCTCAACGCATGATACTGCATACGCGGGCTTCGGCCAATGTCGCCAAGCACAAGGATTTGAACACATGTCTTGGCCCTTTTTGTGTCATGGGATCTTGGGGGAGATCCTACTTGCTCTGGCTGATATTGCGAAGGGAGTAACAAGATCAACACAGTGAGGACGCTAGACAAGCAGAACACTATGCTGATAAGAGTCTCGATCATGATGACAATGGCACTTCAATTATGCCGCGCATGGTATTTATCAGCTTTCAGTCTCATCAATAGCCGATAGAGAATTAAAGAACAGTTTTAGTAGTTCGAAGTGAAAGGAATATCATCAACAGTGGGAATGTTTTGAGGTCCGCCAGTGTCAGAATCTTTGATACGTAATCTGATAAGGCTTCACGTGATTCCCCTTATGAGAACCTTGGGGAAGACGGGGCTTTCCCCGGAGACAAGTGGCAATCTGCTTGAGCCTGTACGGAGTACTGGCGCATACTTTCATTACTTTGCTTTATTACCCTCCAGGGTTATTCCGCAATGCTGTGTCTGCCGACAACCTGCCCGCTAATCTGAGCTATCGCCCGCTCCACCCTCGATATCTTGGCAAGTGCCCCATCTCCTATCCTGTTTGCTGGTCTTTCCAGCTGGGCTGTCGTCAGCATCTGAAGACCATGTCGACGGGGGCACCGTTGCTGAGCGTGGATCTCACACCACCCTCCAATGAACTCAATCATAATCATGGTCACAGTCGCAGCCGTGGCCACTCTCGATCCAACCGCTGGGCACAACCTCCGCCTCCCCTTTCACAGCCAGCCAATGCCAGCTTTCCTGAACTCCCGGAACCAATCAATGCTGTGAACTCGAGTTATTCATATGGACATACACATCAACCATCGAGCCAAGGTCACCATGGGCACTCGCACTCGCACTCGCACTCCAATGCACACCACAATCATAACCATAGTGTGTCATCTCTTCACCATGATGTGCTAGATGACCACCATTTGAAAGACTCCAATGGCGTTTATGGAATGTTATCCACGGATACTACTATAAAAGCGAACTATAGTTCAGAGAAGACGTACGTGGGCTAAAGTGTGATTGACGAGTAAAGGCTGACCACAATCACAGCTACGAGATTTTGACCAGTGCACTCATCGTGCTGCCGTGGGTGGCGCTTTCTTGGTACCAGAGACAATTCACCCAAAAGCAAAAGCTCTCCGGCGAAGGTATACCCGGTACGACAGCGAGTATTCCTATCGGACAAGTTGGTCAAAAGACCTGCATTTTAACAGCCATCACGCTCATCCTCTTCGGCTGTGGTCAAATACTACGGACCAACTACCAAAAGGCTGACTCGTCCACGCCATCATCGGTGAATTTGCCCAAACTAAATGTGAAGAGTGCTCAGGCTTCACTTTCACAAATTGTCTCAGTGGCACTGCCAATATTTGCAGCACTCAAGCTCGGGGGCTTTTTGGTTGCATTTTCACTGCTCCTTGCGACAGCATCAGGGTTCCCAGCCATCATCAATGGGACCTCACACACCCAAGAGAAATACAGTCGAAAAATCCTGTCCATTGCCCTGCTAGTGGTTGTCATTATATCGAGTTTCCTTGGGCTGAACCATCCTTGGGATGTATCCCCAATCATCGGATATGCTGCCCTATTAGGATCTGTGTTTGGTGCTCCTCCCCCATTCCCATCCCTCCGTCGCAATGGACCTATTCCGGAACCAGGTCTCGTTGCTGTACAGAGCAAGGCTTCACACCGGAGCCACTTATCCGCTATGGTCACAACCGATGCACCACTAGCCGTTATAGCCGGGTCCTCCCTTGCACTTCTGACCATACTTTTCAACCGAGTATTTGTCTTCAGCGTTTCGGAGCTAATATATCTCCTTATTCCTACGGGTATTTTTGCCATTTCTCTCATGATTTCCCTGCCCCCCCAGCCTCCGCTCTTCCAAAAAGACCGGGCTTGCCATTTGCGCCGGAGCTGCAGCTTTTCTTTGTTCCCCACATGCCCAGGATGACTTGCTCATGTCTTATGCCACACGGGCTATTTTGGCTACGGCCTCTTTCTTCGCCTCTCGAAGGGATGACAGCCATTTGCATCTGGATACGCATGCGCATAACCACACGCACAGCCATTCACATTCGCACGCTACCTCGGAATCCTCCCGAGTATCAAAGTGGCTTCTCCATAAAAGCGAACCATATCCGTTGCTACACAGCATTCTCAAGGAGAAGGATTCTCGTAGCATTTTCTACTTTATGTGGTGAGTTATGAAACATAAAAAGCTATCATTCTTGAACTACTGCTAATTTTTTTGCAGCCTAAATTTCACTTTTATGCTTGTTCAATTGTCATATGGATTCCTGACTGGATCACTGGGACTGCTTAGCGACAGTATTCACATGTTCTTCGATTGTCTTGCGCTTGTGGTTGGTCTATGTGCTGCAGTCATGAGCAAGTGGCCCCCAAACGCCCGATTCCCCTACGGCTATGGCAAAGTTGACACTTTGTCAGGATTTGCCAACGGGATTTTTCTCATGTGAGTGTTGTCAAAGCGGTGCGTAAGGGCAAATTCTAACAGCGTGTAGGATTATCAGCGTGGAGATCATTTACGAAGCGGTGGAACGGCTCTCATCGGGGAGTGAGATGCACCGTCTAGGTGAGCTATTGATCGTCAGCATTGCTGGCCTCGCAGTCAACTTGGTCGGAATCTTCAGCTTCGAGCACGGTCATGCTCATCACGGCCATGATCATGGTCACGATCATTCTCATGGCAATGAGAACATGCACGGCATCTTCTTGCACATTCTTGCCGATACGCTTGGTTCAGTGGCAGTCGTCATTTCAACCATTCTCGTGCATTACTCCGGTTGGGCTGGTTACGACCCATTGGCATCATGCTTCATCGCCATATTGATTTTCGCCTCGGCCGTTCCTTTAGTTAGCAGTACGGCCAAGACATTGCTACTCACTTTGCCAGCCGACACCGAATACAATCTTCGTGAAACACTAGCGGGAGTCAGCACTTTGAGAGGCGTGGTTAGTTACACGGTGCCAAAATTCTGGCTTGATGATACAGGAGCGGTGTCCTCCGGGCATAGCCATTCCCATGACCATTCCAGCCATGGGGGTTGTGAGCATCACCATGATCATAGCCATAGCCAACACCATCATGGTCATGATCATGATCATGAGCAGCACCACGGCCACGATCACACCCATGACCATGACCATAGCCACAATCACGATCACGATCATACGCATGAGAAAAAACCCCAGAACATCTTTGGGGTGATGCACGTCGTCGCTTCTCGGGGCGCGGATTTGGAAGATGTACGTCAACGGACCGTCGACTTCCTCCGAGAGAAAAACATGGATACTCTCGTCCAAGTTGAGCGTGACGGGGATGCACGCTGCTGGTGTACTGGTGGAAGCAAGGGCTTTTGATTGGTGATCAACCACTTTGAAAAGGGACCCAGGATTTACGGTGCGTTTAATATCGCTTTTGTCCCGGCCGATGTCTATATCTCTCTTGTACAGATAGGATTGGATCGGTTCGCCGAAGAATTACACCAATCAACAGCACATAGATTTCTCCACGGCGCTCATAGGAAGTGGAAGACATACTTCAATGATTCAGTTACGAAATCCAGTTCTTTCTCGCATCACATGTAGGCGAAATCTATCTTGCAATCCTTCAAGGGTGAGACTCGTACGACCCGTTTATCAGGTATGGGCTTGTCCTGGATGGATATGCTTACTCCGAGCCCTACATTCCTCAGACAAATGGAGTGCAGCTCTGCCTATGCCCCTTGGGCCAGATCTCTAGGAATTACGACACGATACTCCTTCAGGTCACACAATCACATTCAACCTCGGCAGCACATGGCGCGAAAGTCCAGGTCTACCTCCGGGGCTATTGTGTTATTCCGACAAGAGCGAAGCCCCCATTCCATGTCCGTGGAGACTACCAGTCTTGTCAGTCAAATCGAAGCCCCTAACTTGTCAGCCTGCAGGTCCAGAAAAGTAACCTCCAGCATCCAAGACCGTACAAATGTAAGAGGGACATTAAGTCCTGTCCTACCAACCATTTGACTTCCAGGTTTGAACGAAAGATGCTACGGCATTCTATATACCTTCCGACATTATCGCAACCGCAGCCAATACTTTCTGTCATTCTTCTATAGATACTTCTTCTATAGAGACCTTAAGCTACACTTTACACCCGAATCTCTTGTCCAGCCTGTTCAATGTCATCAGCTTTGATCGCAAAATCACCAGATGCCGAGGAGGTCGTGCGGGGAGGATATGGAAAGATATTTGAGGGCCATACAGTATTCCTCACCGGAGGTACTGGGTGCTTAGGGGGTTGTCTCCTGTACAAGCTAGCTTTGCAACTGCCGACTCGGAAGATTTTCGTCTTGGTTCGAGGGAACCCCCAGCGAGCCATTGGAAAATTGAAAGAATCGATGCCAAATCATGCACAGGCTATTTTAGCCACAAAGAAAGTGGAGTTTGTGATTGGCGATATGAAAATGGTGAACTTTGGTATTGAACCCAACGTCCTTGAACAGCTTCAAGACCAGGTGACGCTGGTCATTCATACAGCAGCCAAGATCAAGCTTGAAGGCCCCATTCGTGATGCACTGGAAAGCAATTGCCTCCCTGCGCTGGAAATGGCCCGGGTTTCGTCTGGATTCCGGCGACTGAAACTCCTCGTCCAGATATCTACCTCATACGTCAATAGCCATCTTCCGGATGGCCCAGTCTTAGAGCGGATATATCAATTGGGGGGCGAAGAGGATCCGGAGGAAGAGCTGGCATCCATGTTAACGCTTGACACATCACCGCACGCGGGCAAATTCTCGTCTACCTACACTCAAGCCAAGCATATCATGGAACGTGTACTACTCAGCCGCTTCCCTCTTCTTCCAATTCTACTACTACGGCCAACAATCTTCGGTCCTGCGTTCAGACATCCCTACTCGCTATATGGATCGGAGGACTCCACGCCTCTCACCAAGTTTACTCGGCTCTGGTTCTCCGATCGAGGCGCCACACAGGTTTGGCATGCCACCGAAGGCTATCAAACAGGCACCAATATCCTCGACGAGATCCCCGTGGACCTCGTAGCAAACGCGTGTCTATTGCACGCAGCAGCACGAACGACGGGCATTGTCCAGGTCGGTTCTCAGCTCTATCACCCGATTACCTTCGACGAGGTCTTCCGACTGGGCCATGAAAATGCCACACCTGAAGCCCAGCGAGAGTTCCCAAAGATCATCTTCACCGAAGATCGCAGCACACCGCAGTGCTTTCTTGCTGAGTTGATTCAAGTAGGGACTCGCAACTGGCTGTTCGATTGTGGGCGGTCCTATTGGCTCAGGCAGGTGGGCGGTCCATTGAGCATGCAGGTGTGCAAGCATGAGGCAGATGCCTTCAATTTGATACGGACTCACAATGGTCTCGGAACTGGAAGGGAGAAAGCTCGGATGTGAAATGAGCGGCAAGGGGACTAGGGGCGGCTGTAGACCGGCCACAATACTTGTAACCCTACTCCGTAGTGATTTTCGAGATACATGAGACATCTGGACGAATATGTTTCCGTGATATCTCGACTTCGTACAGTCCACACTCCGCCTATCATATAGTACTTGCTCAATCAATCTCTATTTGGTTCATATCGGAGAAGGACTTCCTCTCTTAGAGATAAGCTGGGTTTATTGCACTGGGTGTAAGAGACTCAGTAGCCAACAGCTCAAAAGTAGAAATTCCGCAGTCGCAATGGTTTATACTTAATCAAGATCAAATGTAAACACAAAAAAAAAAGAAAACAAAGGAACTTGGGGACAGTTGAACCAAAGGGTTCACATCTATTTCTCAAGGTTCTGCAGGCTCAACATTGCAAAATAACGCCCACGCCTTCGTATGAGCTCGGCATGTGTTCCAGATTCAACGACCACGCCGTCCTCTAGGAAGCAGATGAGGTCCGCATTCTGAACAGAACTCAAGCGATGGGCAATGGCAACTGTTGTGCGTTGCTTTGCAGCTTGATCAAGTGCAGTCTGGACTACGCTTTGGGATTCCGAATCCAGCGCCGAAGTGACTTCGTCTAATAACAGGACGCTTGGCTGTCTCAAAAGGGCACGCGCAATTGCTAGTCGCTGTTTCTGACCACCGGAAAAGTTGTTTCCCTTTCCTCCGCACATCGTATCAAATCCGAGACTGCATGACCAGGTCAGTTTACTGCTAGCGATATAAAATTCGGCGAATGACTTGCGGTAGTGAATGGATAAAATCAAGGATATGCGCGTCCTTGCAGATGGTCTCCAATACTTCCTGGGAATACTTTGCTGCGTCGAGTCCTAGGAGGAGATTATCTCGGATGGTGCCCTGGAAGAGTGTAGGCTCTTGGTTCACAAGTGCCACTTGATTGCGGTATGCGCTCATATCCATTGAGGAGAGATCCCGGTCGTCCATTGTAACAAGGCCGGCGAGAGGATGGTAGAAACGTTCTAAAAGTGCAACAATCGTGCTTTTCCCGCATCCACTGGGTCCAACCAAAGCGATGTATTTGCCCTTGTGTACAGTGAGATCGAGGCCATTCAGTATTTTCCGGTCAGGGCGTGTAGGATACGAAAAGTGGACATTCCGGAATCCAATACTTCCTTGCAAAAGAGGTTGAGATTCGCTAAAATCCAATTGGGGCTGTGATTTGGGCTGTGATTGTCGATCCAACAGCCCTTTAAGTCGGATGGCCGACAGCTTTGCCTTGGCTAGATCTGGCGAGCTGCTAAATATCAAGCCGGCAGCGTCACCGCAGATGTTAACAGCAGCGAAACTCAGGATGAACTGGAATAATCCATACTCCCCACTAATAACGAGGGTGCCACCATACCATAAGCCAAGGGCAGTACACAGCAAAGGTGCCGATTGAGAAAAGGCGAAAAGGGCCGAAGTTGTCAGGCTGGAGCGAATGCTCTTCGAATCTTGTTCGACCAGCTTATTGTGAAATATTGCTGCAACATTGGACTCCCGATTTAGAGATATGACAGTGCGGATAGCCGAGACTGCTTCACTGGCTAGTGATGCTGTTTCTTGATATACTTGACGAATATGGGCCTCAAGCTGAGCCATGACGCGGAATCGAAGGAATCCGCAGATCAGAAGAATAGGGACTGTAGCTGCACCGACAAGTCCAAGTTTCCATCCAACAGCTAGACTGGTTGCGATGGCACCGATGAGAGTTGTGAGTGCCATAATGTAATTTCCGATGGCGTAGCAACCCATGCCCGCCATACTGGCTGGCTCAGTGCCGAGAAATGATACCAGTGCGCCGACACCGTGCTCCTCCATATCAAAGAAAGACATGTCTTTGTCGAGCAGGGCCTGGAAGGACAAGCCACCGAGACGACGGATAAGCCTCTCTGTACATTTACCCAGAGCAGAGGCTTGAGCCGAGTAAGCGAAGAACTGTACAAAAGCCAAGACGACGTGCAATCCAGCCCAAAGATTTGTCTCGGACCGAAGCTGTGAAAATTCAGCTTGAGGTTTTGCCAGTGCAGTAAGACATTTGGCCAGAAACACTGCCTGAACGGGTGCACCAGCTCCTGTTTGGATTGAAGCTAGAAACCCCATTGACACCAATGTCATAGAGTCCTTGTGGAAACCATTCACAAACCTCAGAAGGGTCCGCATCGAATACTGGTGGCTTGGGCGATCCAGGCTCTCGATAGCATATGCCTCCTTGTGGACTGTATCAAACAAAGGGCTTCCGGTGACCGGCGGAGGCTCTTTTTCTGTCTCTTCGGAGACAGATTTAGCATTTTGGATGGAAACTTCCAAATAATTCTCATCCTCGAGAGATTCCTTTTCATTCAAGTCGACAGCCTGTGATTTAGCTAGTCGATTATACACTCCATTCTTTTCTTGAAGAAAGCCATGAGTACCTTGTTCAACGAGTTGACCACCAGACAAGACGATGATTTTGTGCGCAGATTTGACGGTTGACAAACGATGAGCCACAACAATGGTCGTTCTCCCTTGAGATGCTTTCTCGATTGCAGCTTGAACAATAGATTCACTCGTCGAGTCCAAGGCAGAGGTGGCTTCGTCAAGAAGAAGAATTCGAGGATCGGAGATGAGGGCGCGAGCGATGGCAATGCGTTGTTTCTGGCCACCGGAGAGTAACACGCCAGCCTCGCCAACAAGGGTGTCGTAGCTGTCAGGTAACTGAGTGATGAAGTCGTGGGCATTTGCGACGCGAGTGGCATCGTAGACAATATTCTCGATATCCTCCTTGGATGCATTCTCATGGGGCGTTCCAATCAGACCATACCGTATGTTCTCGAATATAGTCGTAGCAAACAATGTAGGTGATTGCTGGACCAGCGAAATTTGCTGCCTTAACCAATTTGGGCTCAGCTCTGAGAGTTTGTGACCATCCAAGAGAATATTGCCAGCAAGGGGATCATAGAAACGCTCGAGAAGTTCGATTATGGTGCTCTTTCCGGACCCAGACGGTCCAACAATGGCTGTCGTTTTTCCAGGCTCAATATCCAAGCTCAGGTTATCCAAAACAACGACATCTGGTCTTGAAGGATATACGTGTCTGACATTTTGTAACTCAATATGACCAAGCACACTGTCTATCTTTCCTTCGGAAGGACGACTCGCGGTCCCGGGAGGTCTTCTGTCAATGGTGCTATACAGTCTTGATCCAGCGGCTGTAGCAATAGTGAAGACTTGAAGTGGGGGAACTATACCACCAAGACAAGCGATGCCGGTCACTGTCGCGAGGATAATGGTCAGGATATCGACGTACGAGGATGTACCCGCTACCAGGAAGCGCGAACCCATCCAGAATCCCAAACCGATAGCCAGGTAGATAACAGCAAAGACAGCACCAAGCAGAGCACCGGATATAAGCCTAGCGTTATTTGCAAACCGTTCTGCTTTAGCTAGACAGCCATCGTATCGGGCCACAAGCTCAGATTGCGCATTGAGCCCCACGACCGTTCTGATGGATGAAAACACCTCTTCGACAATGGTACCAGATGCTGCGGTCTCTCCCAACCATTGCTGACGATATTTTGTGAGCATTATACCGGCGGCAGCAAACACAAGGGTGATGCAGATGATACTAGAGGCCAGGATAAGTGTCAACCTCCAGTCTCGCATGAAAGCTATGACGAAGGCGGTGATAACCGATGCAGAGCACTGTACAGCAACACTGACTTTCTCTGAAATACCATCTCGAATTAAATCCGCGTCGGCGGTGATATGAGTTGATATTTCTCCGGCTCCAATATTGTCAAAGAAGGCAATGTTTTGACTTAGAAGCGCAGCCAAATACCGTTCTCTGATCCGGCTCGATAATATGATGCCAGTACGGATGAATCCGATATTGGCAATGTAGCATGACACTATCTCGCCCAGAAAAAGATACACAAAGTAAATTGTGAAGCGCGTCAATTCGGTATTAGATCTGTCTTGGGATGAACCCCCAGACCAGCTGTCTTGTATACTGCCAATCAATAAACCTGTTAGCAGCGCCGGCATTGTTGTGATCGCCCCCGCTATGATCGCAGCAAGAAATGAGACGCCAATAATGAACAAATCTTTTTGGGTCGCATATCGGAAGAGTTGAAAATAACTAATCTTGATTATGGGAGTTGTAATGTGCTGGGCAAGTATGTCCTGCTCCGATGCGCCTGTCATATCGAATGATGGGTCAGAGTCAAAGAGTGAAGGTGTGGTGAACGAGGGTGGAACATAATGCGAGGTTAGCTGCGAGAGACGATTGATCAGTGATCCTTCGCCCCACGATCTGCCAAGATAGCACGATTCACACTAGGCTTTCTCTTTTTATTGCAAGGATTACAGTCATATAGCGCTTAGGGTCTCAAATGGGGCTCTCCATTATTGGGTTGCCTATATAAAAACTCCTGTATAAGACTACGTATTCCTCAAAACAAGAACAAAATTCGAAGGCGTGCCTAATTCAAGTTGAAGTTCTACACAGTATCCGATAACAGGCAGATTTAACTATCAAATAATGACGAACCCCTATAAAACGCCGTTTATACCCCCTGTGGCCCATATAGAGAGTTATGGATTGACACTATCTTGGCAGTTGGCTGATGTTGGTGGTTTTACCAGTTATGTTTGGCTTATGGTGATCCGAATAGCCCCCTAAACAATGAAAAGGCGCATGTTAAACAGCATATATATATATATATATGTAGCAAAGATAGAGGGCCAAGGCCAATGAAAACCCATTAGTTATACCATTTCCTATATCGTCATATGCGTATACCCTTGTTCGAACTATCACGAAATGATAACTAGTCTGTGAGACACGTCATTTGGATATTTACGTCTTGAATTAGAGCTGTAATCAATGAGCTAGCCTTCATCAATAACATTTTTGTTCTGTAGTAGTCATTCCATCTAAAGAGATAACCTTTAGTGCTCCAAACAGGGCCAGGGCTGAATAAGTATGTGTAATGTCCAACGCGATTAAATTGCTGATGGGCCTACCTATAGACTATACGAGTTAATACTCCGTGATCCAACATTCGAATAAAATTGTGTCTCGTGTACAATACAAACTGACTAGTACAACAGCAATAGTGTTGAGATGGACACCTGATTCATCAGGCCTTGTTCGTCAGACTGGCCACCTACATAAGTAGCTCTCTGTGTGTTTGAGGAAATCAACCTTTCTTCTTCTCTCTCTCTGGTCCTTACTAGCTTCACCAAATAGGACAAAATCTATTGATATTGATACATGGGTCTGCCTTCTTCAAAGTCACTTTCTTTCTCCCTTTTTATTTCTTCTTTTTAAAAATTCTTATCATAGGGGCGGTGCTGTACACTGCATTGTACAAGAGTTAGGGCAAATACATGGTAATCTGGTCCGGGAAATCCTGCGCGGATATCGGCTATTTAGGCTCCAGATTGGTTGTTGAGGATCTGGTTTTGAAAGTTTCATCAGAGTCCCATCTTTTTCTGGGGCCAAGCCAAAGCGTTAGCCCATTCCATGTCTTCGGGGTGCAGCGCATCCAATAACTCGGAGATCAGTGCCCGGCCCGAGTCTCGCGCCCACCAATGCTGGCCATCAAGCTCCCCGAGCAACACACCCCAGTGCATAAGAATCAACAAAGCTAAAGGCTGTCGGCGTCGCACATTGTCCACGAATTCCTTGTCAATCATAGCGAGCCAAGCCAGGACGTTGGCAGGGTCAACGGAATTGGCCACTCGGATTGAGAAGTGCCGCAAGTAGACAATAGCATCTTTGTTGACCTGATGCTGAATGGGATCAATACTGGCGAGGGTCTCGTCATTCAAAGTACCGAGTCGCTCCAGGGCAGCCCGGGTGTCGCTATCTAGATTGACCGATCCAGGATCCCAATGGTGTTTTCGACGGGAAAAGAGCTCTAATTTGATCCAGGATTCACCAATCCGATGGATCTTTCTCACGCCTTGCAAGAGTTCAAATACGACGACAATATTCTCCGTTATGCTTGAAGTTTCCCCGCGGGCAGCAGTGACTCTTGGAAGAGCAATGCCTATAACGGTGGTGATAATGGACTGCGCCAGCGCAGCCTCGCAGTTCATTGGATTGATACTGTCAACAGCTGCTCGATATGGCGCAAATGTGAGATTGTGATATTGCAAGGCGACGTCAATATACACCAGCGACTCCGGTGGCTCAATTGTTGCGGCAATATGAAGAGCACCCAGTGCCAAAATGCCATTCATTAGAAAATCATACTGGAGGGCCAGGCGAGGAATGGCAATTTGCCAGACATAATGCTCCGAGTTGGAAGAGCAAAGACTCATAAAGGTTTCGGTGGAAAACTTATGCATAAGCTCCAGATCTCGTACCCCTGAAATGGTTGAAGAAAAGGAAGCTGCTAGGCTAGGGATCCTCGGCCGCAGAGGAGTTGGGTCTATAATAGCCAACGGGACCGGGGTCTCGCCCGCTCGTGAATCGGGCCGAGGCGGCGCCCTTAAATATGTGCACGAAAGTTCTCGCGAGATACAATTGGAGCACGGTGGCCCCTTTTCGTCACACTGCTGCCGTTAGTCGCGTCATTTGATGGAGCCCGAAGCGCAAACTATGGAGCCGTCCTGAACTTCCGTAACTAACCTTGACACGACGTCTCTTGCACTGGTCGCATCCTTGGCGAGATTTTGTATGCGCTCGGCGAGGAGGCATCTCGGTAACCTCGGTACCTGAGGGTCCATATAACCGGTTTTGGCTCGGACTCTTTTAAGATGTGGACGAGTCCAAGCGCGGGAGAGAAGAAGATAATGTGAAGGGTGTCACGTGGACTGCAACTATAAAACGGCTATTCACGACTTGTGTTGGTTTCTCTCTTCTATACAGAGTACTCTTGATGGGTTTGTCTTTTTTTTTTTTTTTACAAGTTCTGCCTTTTGTTTATTTGTCGGATTATTCTCATTTGATATTTCGTTGCTTGGCCCCCACGTCAGCCAATATACCCTTAGGCATCACTCACTCAGCCTTAGCATGATCACATGTGTCAGTAGAGCCCTAGAGAGAATTTGAAACTATCAACTTGGTTCTGATCAACATTATCTGGAGATTTATAGATTCTATAGAAAGAAAAGAAGAAGAAAAGATCTCGGGCCAAAAAGCGCAATTCTCCCGACAGGATCCAAGCGTATACTAACTATACCCAGGTAGACCAACAAGTGGATCACGATGTAAGCGACGTGGGGAGAACGAGAACGAGAACGAGAACGAGAACGGGTAAGAACGACCATGAAACAGCCAATGGAAATGCATTTGACGGCCGTTTCATCCTGTTCAGGTGTTGAATCCAATTTAAGGCTCTCCACTTGCTGGTTGTTTCTGTCCCTTAGCGTTAACCTTTACCAAAAATTTTATTGTGATTTGATATCAATCCCAACCTTGGAAGGCTGAGAGGTGCAAGACTCTAGACTCTTATCATCTCCCTTCTAGAACTTACACCCTCTCTTACTTGGCTCCCCCCTCCCTTCATTCTCCTTCTTCCTCTCCTCCATCTCTCTTTCCTTTTATTTACACGTCTTATACCCAAACATGGCGAGTTACGCGACCTGTACTGAAGTAGGCCCACGATGCCCTGTTGAACTCACGACATACGGTTATTACCCCAGTTTTGGCGGAAACATCTTCTTTACAGTCTTCTTTGCCCTACTCGGAATATGCCAAACAGGTCTCGGCGTCTACTACCGAACATGGACATTCTTGACAGCTCTCCTCATTGGCACATTTATGGAAATGGCCGGATATATCGGCCGGGTTCTCATGCATGATAACCCATGGTCAGGACCTGCATTCAAACTTCAGATCGTGTGTCTGGTGCTAGCACCAACCTTCGTCGCGGCGGGTGTCTACCTAACATTGAAGCATATCATTCTGAGCTTGGGACCCGAACACTCAATCTTGAAGCCGCGTCTTTTCACCTGGATCTTCATCGGATGCGATATTGGATCTCTCATTTTGCAGGCTGCTGGAGGTGGTGTCGCTGCGGCTGCTGGCAATGACCACTATGCATTACTCAAAGCAGGCGACAACATTATCATCGCCGGTATCGCTTTCCAGGTTGCAACCATGGTTGTATGTGCATTCTTTGCTGTCGTCTTCTTCTGGAGGGTCTTCAAGCACGGTGATGGCTTCTCGGGTGAGAAGAACCTCGATGTTTCGCCAATTGTTCCAAAGTGGATGCCATTCATCGTGGGCGCCGAGGTCTTTGCCTACTTCACAGTCTTGATTCGGTGCATTTATCGGTAAGACCCAATGTTCCGAGTCCACACAAGGCACTTTACTTACCACGATATCTAGTATCCCGGAGATGGCTGGTGGCTGGGGTAACCCGCTGATGCAGAAGGAGAATGAGTTCCTTGTCTTGGACGGAATGTAAGTGGTCTCTTGGTTTGGTTCAAAGCTCTTGGGAATCATATCTGACGTGTCATTAGGATGATTGCTCTGGCCTGTCTGGCCATGACCATCTTCCATCCCGGAATCTTCCTCCCATCACTACGCTTCGCGCCCAAGAACCGTACATAATCGCCTTCTTTCCTTTTAGTTTTGTGTCATCTTGGCGGTTATCTTGCTGTTCTTTTAAATTCAATCTTTCCAACATTTTGCTAGAATAGCCTCTACTTAATCAAGGCATATATCTCACAGTCAATATCAATCTACAATTGTGCTGGATTTACGTTCAATATTGTGAAGTTTCTTCGGAAATAGATTTAATCCTAACCTAGTGGAACAAAGATACCAGGATGAAACTCCAGCCCTCATGGAAATCGCAAAGAGATGCACCGCAAATGAACCTGAACTGGAGAGCATGGCAAAGCATTGCTCACTCTATGCAACAAAAGAAGAGAACCACCGCTCGCCGCGGTACAGTGAACAAGAAAAGAAAGAAAAAGAACCCCGGCAACCCCATGTTAAATCAGATCATAACCCACCATCTTAAATTGCCGTGAATAATTAAACGATGTCCTAGTCATCCAATGTGAGACGGACACACCGACGGACGCGCTTCTTAAACTCCGCAGGGTCCTCACGCCATAGCCTAGCAGCCTCCACATTCGCTGGGCTTTCATCGTTCGGGCTGGAAAGCATAGAAATCACGGACAGTAGGATTGTCTCGGGTGTTTGCACGGGAGACCAACGTTCCGCAGCCGACTCATAGCCGTACTTGTCCTCCTCGGGTGGGTGCAGAATGGAAATGCACACGTCGCCATTCTCGTAAACTATCAAAGGGCAGTCATTTGTAAGCAAATTGTAATTGTCTTAATGATAAATAATTCCAACAGAAGCCACATACTATTCGGGTGGAAGATGGGAGATTCGAACTTCATCTTTGGTGGACGGTGAGGGTATTCCGATGGGAAAGAGAGACGAGCCCGGAAGAAACCACCTATTCAAGCAAACTTGTTAGTATTTCTTCAACACACTCTGTGGCAGGATGGTATATATCCCCAGGCGGGGTTGTGTTTGCCACAGCACCAGCCCAGGAATGCAAGCTCAAAATCATGTATAACAAAATCATGACATACCCCCATATAGCTTCACATCATCTGATATCATGAGCATAACCTCCCATTCGAAAACGTTGTTATCAACCAAGCCGCAACTAATTCCGGGAATGTCCTTATCGGACTGCATCTGCTGCAGTTGGCGGGACAGCATGCGCCCGGCGGGAGAAGTCGCCATGCTGATAATGGGGGAATAGAAAGCAGAAAGATGGAGGTGCAAGATTCGGTCGATATCCGAAGTCGATTTCAAAAGTCAAAGGAGGGCAAAGAGGAGAAGGTGAGGAGAGGGTGAGGGGCGCAAAAAGAAATGAAGGCGGTAAGCCTAAAGCGGGGTTTAAATGGCTTAGATGGGGAGGCGGTAACTACCTATACACTTGTTGGCGGGTAATCAGCTACTATACCCATGTTGATTTGAGGGCTGAGGACCTTAGGAATGTCATGATGTTTAGATCTCGTAGTTCATTAGGACATTGAAAGACTATCGTACGGGGCAAACATTTCAATCTCTCCCAGTAATATAGATATAGCAAAGGTATCAATTACGCAAACACACACATCCTAGCTTCTTCACAATCTACCACCTGAGACTGATCTCTCAAATGGTTGTGTTTTTACTCCCAGCTTATTTGCATCCCGGGAGCATCAGAGTCAGTGGGCTTGGCAGTCTTGAAAATCCAAAAGGCCTGACCACCAAGTACCAGAGTGGCGAAGATACCAAGCGCCACCTCCATGGCAAATGTCTTACCAATAACCTTGGCGAACCGGACACGGGCAGCCCAGTCAAAGGTAGTCCATGCATCCATGAGACCGATCTTGCCGCTACCACCGGTAATTGCAGGGCTGACTTTGCCCCCGAAAGAACGATCAAATGGCACAATAGTTTCATCCTCCTCGGGAAGCATGGAGGCCGCCACACGGACAAAGATGACACGAGCAGGCATGGAGATTAAGAATGCCAGGATAGCAGGAATCACACTGACGCCCATGAAACGGTAGATGGCCACAATAGGCGGGACCTCCTGGTCACCGGCAACATCGAGCCAACCGGCAAAATTGGCAACGGCCATGGGGACGAAGAAAGCAGCAGCGGTGAGAACATCCTGGAGAGCAGCAGCCGGGGCAATCTTAATCCAAGTCTTATAACTGGGGATACGCTGGTAGAAGCGCTTTGGGGAGGGCTCGGAGATGACAATGTGCACCCAGGCCATCTGCCAAGTAGCCAGGAGAACGCTCAGGACAGACTGAACGATAAACTGGCCCAAATATGAAGTGGTAGGAACAGGGATGAAAGATGACAAGAAGCCACGGGCCACAGTGTATGCCACAAACATGCTCATTCCACGGAAGCGTGACCGGAAGCCAGCACGGGAGCGCAGGTGCTTCACAGTAGTGCGCAGCTTGCTGGTGATGGGCTTGGGGGGAGTAACGTCAAGCAGCTCAGGATCTTCCTCGTCGGTTGGCTTGGTGGTATCGGGATTGGGAGTAATGCGCACATAGATATCGGGGTTGGTATCTTCGACTGCGGCCAGAGTGGAAATCACCATTCCGTAGGTATACTCAACCTGTCGGGTGTTAGTTCCACAAAATTATATCTGGTAAATTGTATTACTTACAGCCCAGAAAGCAAGACCAATCAAGATAGCAGTGATAGCAAACAGAGCCATCAAGCCTCCATTAGGCTCCTTGTGCTCAGGCTTACTCGACTGCATATGATTGACAGCAAGCTCGGTGCCCCGACGCATCAAGACGTTAGTGACGGACATAATGAAGCCGACACCGATGGTGAGTATATATATATATATATATATTATATATATTCGATGGAAAATGAGATGGAAATCTTGGAAGAAAGATGAGATAGAGGGGAAGATGGGGGCTTTTATCTGATACAAAGCCAGGCAGCAGACCACTAGCGCCGGAGTCAGCGGATACTCTTACAGTACTTAGAGTTTGCTGGTGCTCCACCTACAATTTTAGGTACCTGTCTTGTACCCTTTGATCAACATTCAGTTGTACAGATTAGTTGGAACTTGAACACTTTCCTTTGCTCTCTATTTTGTACTGGAATGGCCATATATTTTTATTATTTACTTCAATGTTCACAATCAGATGGTCTAAATATAGAACCCCCTTAGATCATCGGCATCCAATTCCTCCGACCAAGCATCGCCCCCACAATCACGATCATGGCCCCCGGCATGTAAGCGCTCAGTCCAGGCTATAGAAAGCTCTCATAGGCGAGGCTAGTTCGGCCAATCCTTTGACTCCCCCTTAAGCCTATTCGGATATAGCGCAGGTACGGAGTCGACAAAAGCCAAAAGAAACCCTTGTTGAGCCTCAATTATCTCAAAAGTGTGTATGCTGCCTATATCCCATTGATAAGATTCCTAAATTCCTACAAGATTATGTTGGCTGATAAAATTTGCTTCATTCTAGATCTAATGTTCTAGAACTAATGTGACATGCCAAATCCCAGCAATCACACACACAAAGGAAAAGTCTTCTATAGAATATCGGGCATCAACCAAAGATCTAAAATGACACAAGGCATGACCAAAAAGATGCGAACCAATCAGAGTCAAATCATGGTCGCAGATAACCATCCGTGGATGGAACACAAAACGCTGCAAAAAGAGATCAATCATGGTATGTACACACAAGCATTCTCGTCAAATTTAGTCGAATAACTTCTTCATGCCCTTGTGTGCCAGCTCGACGCCGAGGAAAGTGGCGGCATTGGCAGGCACCGCACGAGCAAGAGCTGGTCCGAATCCAGGGAAGAAGGCCTTGAAACCGCCGCTAGCGTAAACCGAGCGGATGACACCACTCATGGTAGGCTTGCCTGATGCACTCTGCAGGCGAGACTTGACGGTGTCAATGGGGAAGACAGGGATCCACATGGCGATACCGGCAGCACCACCAGCACACACAACGGCGGATAGGGATAGCTCGCCCGTTACATTGCCTTCGGCATCCTTGGGAGTCAAGGAGCGCTTGATGTACTCGTAGGCCGCGAAGTAAGCGGCCGAGCCGGGGCCATCACGCGCCAACGTCATAGCACTACCACGGAACACGCTGCGAACACCACCTTCCTTGTACAGCTGGCGCACGACATCCATACCACCAGAGTACCTGGGCTTCTCACCCGGGGCCAGAGTCTTCTGGCCCTGGATCTGGAGGAGAACCTTGACACGTTCGAAGGGTGCCGTGATCAGGGTCATGGGAATGGCGGAGAAGAAACCCGCAGAAGAGATCTGCGCAATGGAGTACTGTGGGGTGTCGTTCTTGATGGGGACGGTGGAGAACTTATTCACGAGAGTCTTACCCACATCGTAACCCTGGTATTGTTAGCATCGCTTCTAGCTGGGCGCTCGCAGCTGGCTTAGCTCCAAAAGTTGATTTTTCTTTTTTCTTTTTTTTTTTTTTTTTTTAAAAAAAAAAGGACGTACCCAAAAGCTGACGGCAACTGTGAGACAGGACTAGTTAGCTCACAACACGACCAATTGCTCATATGAGAGTCATTATAGCTGATGCTAGAGAACTTACACATGGGGGTAACTCCAACAAGCGGTGCGGAGACACCGGCATACAATCCCTACGAAACCATTGTCAGTTCGGTCGCAAAATATTCAATATGTTTGTGATAATCATACTCGAGCCAAACCTTCACGGGCAACTGTCCTCCTGACCACATCCATGGCGCCTGAGTAAATTCCCTTCTCGGCCGTCTGCAGGCGCACCTTCACCAGATCAAACGGGTGTCCGACAACCACGGCGCATAGACCACCAGCGGCACCAGCTGCGAGAGAGCGCAGCTGTACAATTGTCTGATTGACAGCCTTGGTCTCGACAACCTTGATCTCTTCTTTCAGCTGTTGCGTGGTGGGGGAGGTAGAGGGGGACATTGTGGGCGAATCGGAGCGGGGAAGAGACAGGGATGGGGATGGAGGATGAGAAAAAGGAGGAGAAAAAGAAGAAGAAGAAGAGCAGAAGATAGGAGAGTAGACAAGGGTAAGATGTGAAAGTAATTAATAGTCCAATAAGAAAAATATGACCAAAGAGCTCGCAATGATGGAGACACCGACAGACCGAAGCCGACTGGTCTTCCCCGGACGAAGATGTGCCTCGGCTCGGTAGCGGAAAAACAGACTTCCCGTAGTAGATCACACGAAGTAGTTAAGGGAAGTCTATAGTACTAGTTATAGTACTAGATATTAATCAAGACTTTTGGGACGGTATGGTGATTTTCCTATGTTGTATAAGGATTGAATTAGGTACATATGTCTGCTCTTCTTATAACGTCGGTGACCTCCTAGTGTGTTAGTCCGGGTGAACGGGAGAACTCAACCTCTCCATGTTTCCCGCGGAATAAAGGATGGCCGTGTTAGGACTAGGTTCTGTTACTAGATCTCTTGATAGTCCTAAAATGTACAGACGCAGGACAGATATAAAGTGCCTACATAACTATATGTACATCGTTGCATAGTTAGTTAACTATGGGTAAGTACTTGGCAATACGGTACGACCTACACCGGTCGCAATCACATGGAAATCCACATGCTTTTTCTCTGCGGCAGGTCTAACTATAATAAATATCAGTATGGAGTACAGAGTATTATACATCTATGTACTAGTTATGAAGTGTTCAACTCAGGATTATTCAGGTATGAAAATATCAAATAAAGGTCAGATTTACTATGGAACCCTACGGTAGTTAGTATCAAGTATCAGACCCTGAAGCGCGGAGATTTATAAGATAGATGCCATAATATAGATTTCATTCATTAAGCTTGATTGACATTAAAATAACAGCTCCTCGGAGCAAAGAGAAGACAAAAGATAATTGTACCCATCATGAACCCGTTCCATAGTGTACCTATACAAGCCAGGCGGCGACACAAGAATCATAACCCATAAATTAACATGGAGTACATGAGAGAGTGGATTCTACACCTTCGCGTATGGGAATTTACAGAGCGAGGATAGCGAGCATGCCGAGGACACCCATAGCACCACCGGTGGCCATGGGGGCAGCGGCACCATCACTGGTGCTGGAAGCAGCAGCGCCGGCGGAGCTAGAAGCAGAGCTGTCGGAGTCGGAGCCGGAACCGGAACCAGACTCGGAGTCAGAGTCGCTGCCGGAGCCGGAGCCAGTGGAGGTGGAAGAGGCGCCAGTGCTGGTCTGGGTCACCATGGAGCCGGAGGCGTTAGTGCTCTAAAGATGTGGTCAGCGTGATTTTCAGGAAGAAGATGGAGCGTGTCTTACGGTGATGGTGGTAACGGAGCCAGTGGCGGAAGCACTGCCGCTGACGTTGGAGCTAGAGGCGCCAGTGCCAGTAGCGCTGGCGTCAGAGCCGGTGGCAGTCTTGGAGCCAGAGGCATCAGTGCCAGTGGCGCTAGCGTCGGAGCCGGTGGCAGTCTTGGAGCCAGAGGCATCAGAGCCAGTGGAGCTAGCGTCGGAGCCAGTGGTAGTGGAGTCACCAGAGCCAGAGGTAGAGCTGGAGCCAGAAGAACCAGAGGTAGCGTCAGAGCCAGAAACACCGCCTGCGATATAATGTTAGTCTACCAGATCAAAGTATTCGAAAAATTATTCATGACAGTTACATACCAGGGCACTTGGCGACGGCCATAGCGAGAACCTTCTCGGCATCGTCGCTGGGGCAGGCCTCCTTGGTGCAGTCACGGATACCGAACTTGTAGTCGTCGCTCTTGCACAGGCAGGCGATGTCACCGGCCTTGCAACCCAAGTCGGAGGCCTGCTTGCTCATGTTGGAGAGACACATGGACTATAAGCACAATAGGATTAGCATTGAGCACATAACTCAATATGTAATCAAGGGAAATTTTGAACTCACAGCACACTCAGAGGCAGAAATGTCTTCAGCGGCAGCCATGCCAAAGGCGGCCATCAAGGCCAGAGCAACGGGGGAGAAAGACTTCATGATTGGGGATTAGGGAAAAGGAATTGAGGATTCTGAAGGTGAATGTTGTAAGAAAGAGGAAATTTATGATAGAGTGGAAACCGAAAGAAATCTGGAGCTGGGGATTCGTTTTATAAAGAGAGAGAGCCCTGAGAAACAAAAACAAACTCTGCATCAAAGCTCACCAGCCACCTGCCCCAGACTACCAAATTGAAGTCTCCATAATAGACCAAAGAGGAAGAAAGTGGATGAAACGAAAGGTCAAGTCCAATCACCAAGGTGTGGATTGCCTTTCAGGGCCCACAGGGGCCAGTTGGGATTGTTACGCTACCCAACGTGGCGATGAGAGCGAGAAAGAATCAATTGCCTGACCCATATGAGATCATCATAGTCTCCAAATCCTGGATCTGCTCTCTGAAATGAGGGAAGATCGGCCCGGAGATAGCTCGCACCCCTTCTCCATGTCGATCTCATAGGTTCACCAATTACCAGGGGGCCCCATCTGTGAATTTGATTTCAGATTTTTTTGCTTTTTTTCGCTTTTTTTGGCTTCTTTTTTCCATGTTTTCCATGTTTTCCATGTTTTCCATTATTGGAGTCCTCCCATTTTGCCGATGAAGTTGTTCGTTGGTTGCATTCTTTAGGGGGCCCCGGTAGGTTAACCAAGGTTGACGATGGTTCATCAGGTAAGGTTTTTCCTTTTCCCCCGATTTTCACCAATTTGAACTCCAATTGTACTCCCGTGCCTTGGGAGATGTACCTTTTCGAGGCTCAAACAGGTGGAGATCGACAGATCCAAATCGGGAGTCAAGCCGGGACGAATCTGAAGGGTCGAATACCTAGGTACTAGTCGGAGACAATCCGATCGCACTATTGAAAATTAAAAACTCAGTTGAGACACCGCTATTTGTGGCTGAACACAGCCACACTTTATCATTACTATGACTACGGAGTACCAAGGTACCTAGGTAGGATTACTAACTATGGAGTACTATGGCTATGATTACGCAGTCTATTAGGTATTCCTCTATTCCCTTTTAACTATTTAACCTATTTCACAAGTGGTCAGTCATTGATAAGACTCAAGCCATGTATCAATATATTATATTATCGACCGTTTGAAAATTACCGAAAATTACCGAAAATTACGTTATGAAAAACTAGAAATATATATACCGCAATCATGTCCTTTTTTTCAACACTCCCTAAAGATGCTAAATATCACCTTAAAAAGAAAGGTTTATAAGGAAATACCTACAGACTACCGCTGTCGGGTATCAAGTTGTAATCTCATCGCATTTACTATGTGCTTTTGGGCTGGCCACTGTGAAATACGTTAGTTAGTTAGTTACTCTGGTTTTAATATGTGCGGAGTACACCGTATGAAATACTCCGTTTACGGGGTACCCATGTTATACAGTTGATTGACAAGGGATACATCCCCCTGGAAAGGGATTGATGGATTTGAGATACATAACATTTATTAGAATTGAAATAACATTTGGATCTTCACTTTTTCTTTCCTTCTTTGCCTTTCAAACTATTCAAATCTTTCGCAGATCGAAATCAAACACCCACATTGGATGCGAGATACTACGTACACTCCACATACAGATAATGTAGCCGTGCCAGGCGCCCAACAACCGGAAGGTTGTTAGTGCGCCCCAGCAGATACCCATTTTTCACCAGATACCATATTTGTAAATTATGTATCTTTTGTATGACTTACCCATACAAAAGGTACTTAGACACCCCGTAAACATAACGTGCATTTTCTTAGCACTCGAATTAGCTAAAGTAATAGAAAGTGTACGAATATATAGTATAAGTCTAACTTAATTAATTTAATGGTAGTATAAATTCTTAACATCTAATATAAAAGAAGAAGAATACTTTTAAAATGACACTATATGAAGGTTATATAGTAGAAATAACTAGGTACTTTCTTAAATTTAGTATACTTAATATTCCTTACCAAAGTTTGGTTAAATAATATAGACTTCCTTTATATTATATATATCTTCTTACACCTTCCCTTACTAGTTCGAGTACTAAGAAAATGCATATTATGTTTACGGGGTGTCTAAGTACCTTTTGTATGGGTAAGTCATACAAAGGATACATAAAATTGTAAATTGGGTATCTGGTGAAAAATGGGTATCTGCTGGGGCGCACCAACACCAGGGGACCTGGTGTTGGTCAGCTTGGCACGGCTACAATGAAAAATCGAATTTATTGTGGCTAGACAGTGCTCCCTACTTCCATATAATAATATTAAATGCTGTAACTAGGTACACCCTACATATGATTTGATTGCAAAGTTCTTATACTGGGCTTGATAGCATACGGAGTATCAGTCCTACTTGATGGTATTTTTCATTCATTACACGTCTGGTTAACATTTTAATATAGTCTAGGCTTATGCGCCAAGCAAGTTCAGCATAAGTCTATGTTGTACTCCATACGTATGTTGTTGTAAATGCAGCTGTACGGAGACTCCGTCCACAGATACTCACCAGCACGTTCCCGTCTGAGCCTGCAACAATTGAAGCTCCTATTCGTGTAGACATGGACGCCACCTGACAGTTTACGTGGGAACCTGCAGAAGCTCATTCTTCGGTCCCTTGGCAAATTTTAATCGCTATCCCTGGCTTCCTATGCCCTCGTGGCTGAACTACCCCGGACTCCACTACCCTCAAGGCTGAGATTCTGCTACTGTACTAGTATACCATGTTAACAATGGTAATCTGTCCTACTCTATAGAGTCAACTGCTAAATTCCAACATGTACTAATAATATTAACGTTACAACAAGTTCAACTAATTATCACACTGCAAACCCAGTTCAGTTTGCCATGGTTCTTAGAAGTCCAAACTCCCCATTGACCTCATCTACTAGACCGTGCTATACCTTCCCTTATCACTCGCGCCCATGTCAGCGGGGAGTTCTTTGTGGCGCATTACTACCAGCCCAAGAAAATTGGATCTCTCTCCGATTACTACGCCACAGAGGAGTTCATAGTGGGTTCCAGTGGAATTGCCACGACAATAGGTATGGGTGTGGAGCCCGCTTTTAATGGAAAGAAGATGTGGTTTGATCGCAAGTACTGATGACTTATGATGCCTCATTACTATTTACATAGGTAGCATATAAAATTTATAATGTTGTATGTTGAGTAGCCGTGCCAAGCGCCCAACACCAGGTCCCCTGGTGTTGGTGCGCCCCACCAGATAGATACCAGATCTACAATTTTAAGTAACTTTTGTATGACTTACCTATACAAAAGGTACTTAGACACCCCGTAAACATAACATACATTTGCTCAGCACTCGAACTAGCTAAAGTAATAGAAAGTGTACGGATATATATTAAAAGTCTAGCTTAATTAGTTTAATGGTAGTATAAATTCTTAGTATCTAATATAAAAGAAGAAGAATAATTTAAAATGACACTATATAACGGCTATACGGTAGACATAACTACCTAGGTAGGTACTTTCTTTATTTTAGTATACTTAATACTCCTCACCAAAGTTTGGTTAATTAATATAGACTTCCTTTACACTATATATATCTTCTTATATTTGCCCTAACTGCTTCGAGGGTCGAGAAAAAGTGTTATACTAACGGGGTACCTAAGTACCTTTTGTATTGGTAAGTCATACAAAAGATACATGAACTATAAATTGGTTATCTGGTGAAAATCTGGTATCTGGTGGGGCGCACCAACGACCGGAACGGTTGTTGGGCGCCTGGCACGGCTACTTCGTAGACATATTTTATATCCGAAGTCATGAAAAGTGGAAAAGTGGGCCTGAAGTCCAATTCTTTTGAATGCGCTATGTTGTACAAAGTACTCGGTACAACACCACCCTTTGTAAAATGGAAGTACATAAATCGAAGCTTATTATCAAGCGCCACGAGACAGGATGTGTAGGTGGCAATGCAAAAACTATTAATACGAATGCCTAATATCCGTACATACTCCGTACATATGTAACTAGTTAACTAACACTCTACTGTCGGCGATGCCGAACTCGCTCGGGCTGGGTCCGGTGGATCCGAACAAAAATATTTATCTGGCAGACCAGAAGCAAAAAGTTATTGACCGACGCAGGGATCGAACCTGCAATCTCTTGATTCGTAGTCAAGCGCCTTGCCATTGGGCCAGCCGGCCTTGTTGAATGTGCAAATGAGCAAAAATGTGTATCAGGAGAGTATACATCGGATCTATTTCAGATGCTCATTTCCAGGAATATATAATAGAGTTATAAGTACAGGTCAGTAACAAGAGATATGGATAACGGAAAGAAAAGAAAAACAGTGGTATGAGGGTATGTTGATGCAAGAAAACGCCGTAAAAGAAGGCAAAAATCAGATTCCGTACCGAGTCATACATTCGACTCGGAAGTGTCTCTCGCGAAATCATGCGGTATCATGAGGACCTTCTCGGACACTGCGCCTTCTTCCATTGATATAATCCGTGATTTGTGGCATAGTACCTCCCGCCATCCAAGACGTAGGGCCAAGGACATCAGCAGGCTTCCAAAGAAAAATCCAACCAAACAGGCCAACAGCCCGGCTACAGTACCCAGCAAAGCAGGAAGGATGATGGGACGGGTGATGTGCATAAAGGAGTTCTTAGGATGGTGTTTTTGGTGGGGCCGACGGTGTTCAGCGTGGTGGAGGTGGGCCGGAGTAGCCCAGAACGAAAAGAAATGAGTTTTAGATGCAGATTCTGTTGCGCTTCCACTGGTGGTGACCTCTATAGCACCATTCTGGGTGGAAGATTCCGTGGCCTTGGCGGAATCGTGGGTTGGCGTCGCGGTCCTAGACTTGGTCCTCTGCTTATCGAAAACGGAACCGAATTGTGTCCTCCAGTAGTTGACCACCCACGACTGGCTCTTCTGGTCTGTATTATTATTCTGATTGCTGCCACGAGCTGGTTCGACACGGATGCGGGTCATGCCGTACTTTCCACTTTGATAGGCGAGAAGGTCGACGGTTACTGCGTCCGGTGACACCAGGTTGCCTTGCAGATCGAATAACTCGATTCGCACGCGGATCATATCCGCCATGGATCCTATTTCATTTGTGGGGAGTGGTTGAGTCTCGAGTGTGTAGAATAATCCTACGGTGTTATCACTGGGATTGATTTGGTCTGGGTCTTCGTAGAGGGGCGCATTGAGCTGCATTATCACTGATGGAGGATATAGTTGGTGCTCATTGGCGTAGAGGCTTCCATTCTGAATGGAGAAATCGATCGACTGTGTTATGTTAGTATATTTGCGATGGAATTAGTAAAAGGAAAAACATGACTCACGAGTCTTGATCTAACGCCATTTTCAAGGTTATCCAAATGAGGAACGAAAGGAAGTCGAAGTTGGTGGGCATCCGGGATGGAGGATGCGAGGGCACTTCCTATGAGGATTGCCCACAGCAGCTGCATGGTGGGAGATTTGGGATATGAAGGAAAGAAGTAGACAGGGGAGAGAAGAAGAGAGACAAAGAGAGAAAAGTAGAAAAAGAAAGATATAAAGTAGATTTAACGTCCAACCAGACTACCATTCGTGTATAATCTAGGTATATATATATATATATATATCTATGTGACTACATGCGGGCTATCAGACATTCAGACATCTAACAAAGAATCATCGTTGCCTGGAAATATACTTTGAGACAGGGAAAAAGGCAGAAAAAGCTTAGCGTTGGCTTTAGCCCATCTTTGTTGTTTCACTCTGGGCTATTCTTAGTATCTTTGACTCTGCAATTTCAGTTACTGTTCCTAAATCAAACAAGTTCAAGGAATTTCAAGGAATTTCATGGGAAATGTCGCAAATGCTTTTTGTTCCCTTTTTTCCCTTCTTTCATTCTCAATCGGACTTGCAGATATGTAAGCTTAAGAGGTAGAATTAATATACAACATATACTATAACAGTGCGCATATTAGACTTCCGAAGGATCCGACTCTACGGAGTACGTCTTTACCAATCCCCTAATACGTATACGACCCCTAGTGGATAATTAACTCACTACTAACGGGACTTGTTCTAGTGTAAACAGAACACTTGACTTTTTCTATGGGTCGATCTAGTCTACCCTAATGGGCCCCGCGGATGCCGAACCCCTCTATGGCTATAGATCGATATTGTATTCAACGCTCGAGTACCAACCCCTAATGTAGCCGATAATCAAATGATCAAGTGATCAAAAAACTTACAGACACAAGTTACCACCGGATAAAGATTAAAAATGCATGGACATGCATCATTCCAAGGTTGGACCTTGAAAAGGCTTGCATGTATTAGCGTTGGCCAAGAATGATACGGATGAGGGGTCTTAAATAAAAGAGCTCTACAGAGTAAACCCTCTATGTTGTAGTAACCTGGGAATTACTTGAAAAATTCTTGAGGTGAAGAGCTCTAGCTCTTACGCCTTGATCCTATTTGACTGTTGGCAATGACGCCTTCTCCCAATCAAAATGTCCGGTGTCAGCACGGATCAAATAATACGAGCTGCACATCGTTGGATCAATTGTGTCGGCAATTTTGTTCAAGTTTCATGTCTCAGAACAAATTGTTCATTTGGCTTCAAGGTTGCTTCGTTCGCCTCAATCCAATACATTGGGGTTCATAACATCAACGCTGCACTCAATCTGGGGTGACCTCTGCTACAAAGTATATAAGAAATTGTTGGCGAGCACAGCCTCTGCGGGGTTAGTCTGACTGCAACATCACAAATGTCAGACGGAGATTCCGAAAATTATATACATAAGATTGTTGCCTAGAAAACGGGCTGTTGACTTAGTGCGTTATACAGTGACAATTAATTCCTCAATCATCCACCTCACGAATCTTATACTCAAACATCTTGTTAGAAGGCACTTCATGTTCATTCTGGAGTTTCGTCGCACTCTCGGCGCCCGCTGCTGGCACACGGTACTCGAATCGTTTCCCCTGCGCTGGCACAGATCCGTCGGGTAGTGCATATGGAAAAGGTAGATATTCAGGTAACAGACCCAGCTGCACAAGTACCGTTGTTTGGTCCCATGCAATGTGTTCATGGAACAAGCAATCTCCTCGAATGTTAACTACAGACGTAAATGGAACGCGAACGTGTTTTCCCGTAGGAGGGATTCCGGGGATCCTAGGGGGTGAAAGCCGTCAGTTAATTACTCGATTCAAATACCGGAACCAAAAACACCCACATCCAGTCCATCTGCTTCACATGAGTGAAGACAAATATAAACTCGTCCACAATACGATCGGTGCCGACTGTCCGACTGATAAGCTCTAAAGCTGTGTCCTCAGGGTTGTTGAAGATGAAGTGATTGAGATAAAAGTGACTCAGACGAGTTCGTCCAATGCCTCCTGTTAGAGTTGGCACATGATTCACGTAAGGCTCCGGGACCATCGTCGCCATTGTCTTTTCCACCGAGCGCGCTTCAAATTCATAATAGGTGTGCTCGTCCCAGATCTTCTCCAGGTCAAAGAATGGCCCACCCATGTGTTTTTTAACAAATCCGACACTCCGCGTATGACTTACTCCTGCGGTCGATATCTTGAAATCCGGGTGGCCGGGAATCATGAAGCTGGGAGAGGATACGTCGGAGTATATGTGTGTAGTCTGTCCTTCCTTCGTCCTGCCTTCCATTGGATGAGACAGATGGAGCAAGGTTGACTGGAAGAATGGAATGTCCCAAGAGTCGAAGAATACCGCGGCGACCAGAGCCGTGCCTTGAACTAGTGCACCTTGCAGACTGTCCTCGAATTGGGGAGCATAATCTTTCTTTGATCCATGGACTGATTTGAAGTCAGTAGAAACCAGTGAAATAGTCGGCTTGACACTTCCGTACCTATCAATCCAACCTTTTCCTTCGTATCGCACTCTAGCCTCTCTGTTAAGCCACGCTCGGCTTCTTGAAGAAGCTCTCGTAGAGATGGTATGTCAATAGCAGACTTCTCATCCACGGTAATCTGTGCCACTGTAAAGCTTTCCTCTGCCCATTTTTTGAGAGGTTCTGGATCAAGCGTCTTGTTTTGCTGCTGGCATGTCGAGTAACAAAGAGGTCGTATGAGAATCAGTCCTGGACCATGTCCACAGCGGGAAATAGGAGGCTGAATGGTTATATGTGGGGTCAAATCCACTTGAGCGGAAGTCAAACTTGACTTGGTCATTTTTTATTTAAATAGAAGTTGGAAGTTGGCATTTGGAAGTGAAGTTGAGCAAATCCGCGGGGTTTCCAAGTAGCCGATTATATACCCGGAGCTCTATCACCCCCCACAAGTGAGAAGAAAGACGAAATTTAGCTATGCAACACTCTCAAAAAGATAGAAAAATCAGAAACTCGGCATGTAATTATTACAATTATTTGAATTTATTTGCATTTATCTCATATCAATCCCACGTGACCCGTCATCGGAGCTCGGCCCGTTCATTTCCACGCGCGAGCTGTTTTCCCAAGAGCACAACCCAACAATGAACGCACTTGTCCAGTCTGCCCTGACTGATGTCGAATCCAAACTCAATGCTCTTCTGACTAGTCTCACAACCTCTCCCACTGCTGCAGGAGCCCCCGCAGCAGCTGTCGCCCTGCTTGATGCGGACGATGCGCTAACCTCCGCCATTGAAACGCTTCGACAGCACCAAGAAAACCACGCAAATATTCTCCGACTGCGGAACGAGGCCCAAAATCTGGAGGACCGAGTCAAGGGCATCGTGGGGAATATTGAAGGCTTCGAGAAAGAGATCCGCACAGCTTGTGGAGACAACGGCGACAGCGACAGCGATTTCGATTCTGACTCCGATGATGACCTTGGGGGAAAGAAATCATTGCTACGCGGAATCAAAGAGATCGACTACAGGTTACTCTTGGATTTTGCACGTCGCATCAGCAAATACAACCACGAAGCAGCAGCCGATGCCGCAACGGGCGTTGTGAAACGGCAGGGACAAGGAAATCCCCTCGCCGATAAAGATGTGACGATGATGGGGACAAATGGAGAACAACCAACGGATGAGGGCGCAGAGCCAGTGGCATCTGTCACCAAAAATGCAACGCAGTGGTTGGACGAGTCCGCGAATGTTACGCGCCAGGTCTACATGCTGCCCTACCCGATGGAGGAACGGATACGGATGGGATTGATGGGTCAAATCCAGCTTTCTGCTGGTGACGATCCCGAGAAGGAGGTGGAACGGTTATTACGTGAAGCTGAGGGTCCTGGGGCCGCAGAACCGCCAGCACCGGTGGAACCCGCGGAAAGCACAAAGCAGGCGGGCGAGGCTGCGAAGGCTGCAGTTCAAGCCGGATCTTCAGCTGCTGGAATGCCGCGGGCGCATGTCCCTGCACCAGCACCGAAACCAAAGCCCAAGGCAATGCTGGACCTTGATCTCTACGACCCCGACGAAGATGACGATTGAGTGTTTTTAAAGCGGGCGTTGCATTCGATTTTCATAATGATACCAGCTACAATAGCACAGAAAGCCATTCAAGATTTTCTTTTTCAACTGTCTCATTGCATGGACCTGTAACCCAGCTATTACACCTTATGGGTCGAAGACCCGACCTTCTATCCCCGGAACATCATATTGTTAAGTAGAAGGGACTAACTAAATAGTTAACTAACACAGAAACCTCACAATGCTACTGATGACATATTTGACCCCCGAAGGAATGAATTTGCTGAAGCTATGGCCGCAGGCGTTCTTATTAACAGCGATAGACACGAACATCGAGCCAGCCACGGGCATGATATGTAAAGAGGCTATTTGACGATCTGTCAGGGAAGGTACGTTAGTTATCAGGGAAGATAGTATCATGACTATCTTGGACATATGTAGGCCAGAAATATATAACTATATATCGCAATCACATAGCCATTCTATACTCCCCAGAGAGGCTAGATAGGAATTATTGTACAACTAATCGTTATTGAGATATTAAGCAGTATTCATTGCATCTACTATATGTTCTGGGTAGGCATACAGTAGCCCGAGAGACTAGCGAGGGGGAGAAAAAGGAAGGCAGTGTTTGTCCCTAAAGTTAACAAAAGTACAGACGCTAAACGTTAGCCGAGGGCGCAGTGCTATATAGACTTCTCGGCCTTTTGGTATTTAAAGCGGCTTCATGAGACGTAGGAAGGTCAGCCTTTAACAAATGTTCCCTAGTTGCGAAGCTTTGGCCTTGTGTAGGCAGAAAAGTGCAAAATTTACAATATAACGCTCGCATGGCTTAGTGGTAAAGCGCATGACTAGTAATCATGAGATCCTCGGTTCGACTCCGAGTGTGAGCATTTTTTTGCCTTTCTTGCTTTCCGACAATAAGTCGGCATATCTTGTGACGACTTTTTAACACCTAGTTACCTAGGTAGTTAACTAGGTAACTAGTTATGTAGTGTAGTAATGTAGTCTTTTTGCCTCGACAATGATATTTCCATGCAAAAAGAA